GGCCCGGGCACTGTCTTCTGTCCAGGGGGTGGCCCCCAATGGCACTGACATCCACCTCATCATCCGTGAGGCAAGCAGGGGGTCAGTTCGCCTGCCCGTGGGGAATCGGCCTGACTGCCAGCGACTCTCAGAAGGGGGTCCCTGGACCAGTGGTGCTGGGAAATTCAAGAGGAATCGGACTCCTGATGCCCCTAGGAGAAGCTGAGCCCCAGACCACAAGAGGATGCCCAGCGCCTCTCTCTCACACCCTGCTCCCCACCTGCTGGACTCACTTCCAGCAGACCCTCTGGTGCTACTTGCCACTGTCAGACGCTGTTACTGAGTAGTTTGGGGTGCCCTTAGAATCAAATCGATCCATTCCCCCAGACATTGCCTCCTTGCTGCCCACTACTCAGCCCCTTCAGGCCAAGGCTGGACCGGCATCTAGGTCAGAGCATCCCTGCAACCTGAGGCTGGGGTCAGGCAATATCTCTGTCCCGTGGAAGGGTGCTCACAGCCCTGTGGAGGAGCCTGCAGTGACCCAGGCTCCAGGTCTTGCCCCATATCTGTGTCTGGAGAGCCGGTTCCTGAAGGGCACTTGGTGGTGGCAAAGAATCCACACCTGATCCTGCTGTCAGAGGTGGGCTGTGGCACCCAGTGTGGGTGTGGGAATGTGGCCTGCTCTACAGTGGACTTTCAAGAGCATGGGCATGGCCCAGATGTACAGGGCCTGGGCACAGCTCCACAGTGAAGTGGTTTCCACAGTCTGGATCTTGAGGGTCTTCCTGGACGTGTTCTTCTCAGACAACCAAGTATCTTGCTATCAGTTCTTGGCTGACCCCAGGACAGGGCCCTTCTGACCCTACCCCTACCCACCTTCAGGGTGTAGAGTGGTGCCCAGGCAGGGAGTTGGGGCCGCCCAGGCAGGGAGTTGGGGCCGCCCAGGACCTCCCTTGCTGGCAGCTTGGGAGGCTGTGTTAGCCTGAGCCCTCCAGGGCAGCACAGGGGCTGCCAGCAAGACCTGTCTGTGTTGCAGGTGGCTGTGACTGACCTGTGCCCAGCAGGGCCCATCCAGGCTGTGGAGATCCAAGTGGAGAGCTCCTCCCTGGCAGACATGTGCAGAGCACATCACGCCATTGTTGGGCGCATGCAGGTACAATGGGTGGTGTGGGCTGGGGAGGGAGGCTCTGAGGGCTGCAGGTGGGCTGTGGAGACTGGCTGAGGTACCACGGCTGCAGGCCCTGGGGTCTGTGACCACCACTGCCTCTGCTGGCAGACACAGTGCTGTAGAGACATGTGAGTGAGCGCTTCCTCGCAGACAGGCCACTTTGCTGTGCCATCAGCCCCATGTCACCCCAAATCCAAAGCCCACCTGCACCGTGCGTGCAGGGCTGCTAGGGCATCCTGAGGCTGCCTGTCTTCCCCTGTTCACAGGGCTGCTTGGACTGGCACACTGTGGGCATGGCTCCCAGGATAAGGCATCTGCCCGTGCCCGGGAGAGCGAGCAGCCTTAAGGGTTTGCTGGGCAGAAGCACATGCTCTGGTGCTGTGCCCAGGCTGCTCACGCCAACAGCTTCCAGGTCTGAGAAGCTCCCATGTTCCCATTGAGTCTAACCAGTGCCCAGAGCAGGGTGGCCTCAGTCCAGAGCCTGTGCCCCTGTCCTCCTATCCCCGCTCTGTTCAGCCTTGGTCCTTGCAGCAGAGACTGCAGTGTCCTCAGTGAGCCCGACCTGAAGGGGGTTCTCACTCTGGCCTCTGCGGGCCTCTCGGGAACCTGTCACCCGACCTGCTACCTGATGGCAGCTGGGACCCAGTGTGCCAAGATGCACGATGAGCCAGGCAGGAGGCACCAGGCAGGAGGCATTATCTGCCCTCAGAGCTCCGAAGGTCAGCCCTGGTGATCTCAGCATGCAGCTCCAGTGGCCAGTGCTGTGCCATGACCCCAAAGCCCACCCCATGCAGCAGGCCGTGTTGCAGGCACAGCGTCTGCTTCAGTGCTGGAGTCAGTCCTGACACCATGACCAGGAAGAGTGGCCTCTAGGCAGTGCTGCCACCGTCAGAGAAGGCACTGCCCAGTGTTGATCTGGCCCCTAAGAACGTTGTCACCACCTCCAAACTTCCCCATCAAGGACAGTCATTGGGGTTAGAGCCACCCCGATGAGTTTGTCTTGGTCATGTGAAAGGTCCCCATCTCAAAACTCACATTCAGAGGTACTGGGGTTAGGACTTCCACGTGTGAATCTGGGGAGCCACGTGCTTTCCCTGGGTGGGACTTCAGTGTTGTGGTGGCAGTGTGCCAGCCTCCACATCCATAGGTCAGAGCTCTCAGGACTCCGCCCAGAGGGACAGCTCCCACTGCAGGCCAGCACTGCCTGGGGTGCTCCCTCCCTGGTGGAGGCCCTACCATGGGCCTCACTCCACCCCTGGAGAGGGCAGCAGGGGCCCCGCTGTCTAGGTCACTCAGGCCTGTAGCAAGCTGGGCTCCTTCAGAAAGCGGGAGCTGGCGACCAGCCCCTCAGCCTGCTGAGTGAAAGGGCAGCTGGGTCAAGTTGGGCCCTGGCCGAGGTGCAGCAGCGGCAGGCTCCACAGTCTGTCTGGTTCAGGGACAGAGCCGGCGGAGGGGGACCCTGGGTCTGAGCACAGCAGAGCTCTTTAGGGATGAGTGGAGAGGAAGGACCAAGTCGAAATTTATTGTCAGTAACTGATCACCAGGTGGGGCCCACGTGCCGCTGCTCTGAGAGGAGAGTCCCAGCAAACGGCAGGTGGGAAACAAAGAGTCCGGGAAGAGCCCACATAGGTGGTCAGAGTCAGAAGAGCAGGAGACTGTGCTGGAGGGCCTGGGGGCAGCCAGAGGAGGGCTCACCCTTCTCTGATGGTCACGAGGGCCTGCTGGTGCAGACACCTTCCTCAGGACAGACAGTGGGCACCACCCGCCACATCCCCACTCCCACTGTCTCCCCCAGGCAATGGTCAGGGAGCAGGCTGCCCAGAGCTCCAGCCCACCCGACCTCCGCATGCAGTATCTTCGCCAGATCCATGCTAAYCATGAGGTGAGCACCTGTGCAGGGCTGTCCCACCAACCTGGGCATCAAAGAGTGACCCTGGCAGGGCCCCTGTGCACACAGATGCTCAGCAGTTGCCCAGCCTGGTGGGGCTGGCCTCATCCTCAAGTGTAGGCTTGGCCCTGGGCTGGGCAGCGTGGTGGGGTCACGCCTCTCTCCTGCCTGCCTCGCTCCACCTGTTTCCCTAGCCACGCCTGCCTGGCTGTGCTGTGTTCTTGGACCACCCACCACCTCCCAGGGAGGGGTCCCAGGGAGAGGCAGAGGGCCTGAGCCATGCTGCTTGCCCCTAGGCACTGCTGCGGGAGGTGCAGGCCCTGCGTGACCGTCTGTGCACGGAGGATGAAGCCAGCTCCTGCGCCACAGCGCAGAGGCTCCTGCAGGTGTACAAGCAGCTGCGCAGCCCCAGCCTCGTCCTGCTGTGACCAGGTGGGCCCAGGCCTCCACCCCACTGCCTTCAGCCCTCTCCAGCAGCCGAAAGACCCTTGGTGGTTGCTCAGAGAAAGACTTAGAATACCATGGGTGACTGTCCCAGCCCTGCATATGACCTGGCCAAAGGCACCAGAAAGTGGAGGAAGTCGGTGGGAGGCAGTCCAGGGGAGCCCGAACCCCTGGCCTCCACCAGCTCACTCCTTCCCTTTCTCCCAACAGCTGCTGGCCACACTCTGCCACACTGCTGGGCACTTTCCACCCCAAGCACTGAGGCTCCCCTGGCAGCATCCTGTCTACTGAAGTTCTGGACCCCCAAGCGGCAGTCCATGAGGGACACAGGGCTTCTGGGCTTGGGACTTGGGTGGGTTCATGACTTGTTGCTGCTATTCCCCCCCCACACCCCGGGAGCACCAGCTGCCCCTCTGGTGCCACCAGGTGGGAGGGTACTCCTGCAACCAAAGCACAGAGATGTGGGGCTCCTGCGGGTGCCAGTGGCTCCTTGCCACTCTGATGAAGGGCTTTCAGAGTGGCCCGTGGCCAGGATGCTCAACAGTGAGGTACCGTGCCTGAGCTGCACTGTGTGCCGCTTTTAGGGTCACGTGGGGCCAGGGGCTGCAACCCAGCATCCCCATCCCCATCCCCATCCCCACCTCTTCGTTCAGCTGGGCAGTGCCCAGCCGCTGGTGCTGTTTTTGCTCTGGGGTGGGGTGGCTGTGTGTCTAGACGTCTGTGGAGCGAGCCACTCCTGCTGGGAGCACTGTCGGTGATGTGCACAGCAGGTGCTGTGAGGTGCTTTGCTGACAAGTGACCCTTTGTGTTGAGCTCAGCTTTGTTGGCTGGTTTTTTTACCCCCTCCCCACCCTCCAACAAGCACGCACCCCCAGCTCTGCTGGACTCCTGCCAGAGCTGCTTTCTCCGTGGCCCTGGGGCTGGTAGGAGGCCCCTGAACTGGGGGACTCTCCAAGGAAGGGCACCCTCTGCAGCACCCAGGAGCCCTCAACCAGGCTGCTCAACTGAGGGTCTGCTCTGTGGTGCCTCTGGGTGGGCCAAGAGGGGTCCACAGGAGGGAGGCTGAGGTTGGAGGGGCCTGCCTGTATGAGAGCCCGGAGTCTCCACCAGATCTGGCTCTGGTAACAAGCTGGGGTGTGTAGGGAGAGCCACCTGCTCCAGGGCTGATGAGGGCTGGCCTTCTAGGGGGCTCTGGCCTGGCCTGCCCAGGCTTATCTGCAGCTGTCCCAACAGGACAGGCAGAAGCCTCTGGCTCCAACCCTGGTCCAGTGCTCTTGTCCATGTCTTGCAAGGATGAAGAGGCCAGTCCAGCCCCCAGGATGTGCAGGGCCTGTGTTCACCTGCCTTGGAGAAGGGTGACGTGACCTAGGCTGTGCTGGCTTCTGTCTGTCCGTCTTGATACCTCCCAGGCCTCCTTGGCCATCGCAGGCTGTGGGGATCCCAGAGCTGACAGGTCTGGACTGCCTGCCAGGCTCACTTCCCCAGACCCCACCACCATCCCCCACCACCCCCCCACCACCCCCCCGGTCTCAGGAGCCAGAGCAGATGTCCCAAGAGACCACTGTCTCAGAGCAGTGATACCGTCCAGCCTTGGCAGCCTCAGCTGGGCATAACACACAGACCCAGAATGAGACGCCCGGCCAAGGGGGTTTGGTGTGCCATCCTTGTAGAGCCAGGGCAATGCCCCGCACCGCTCTGCAGGCTGAGGCCACCTCCCCGTCAGGCTGCCCTGCAGGGGTGTTCTTCAGGAGGAGTTCCCTGAGGCATCAGTGCTGTTTAGTTATGTGGAGAGGACAGTGGGACCAAAGCCACATGGTTCCAGGCTGGCTGACAGTGGGGGACAGCACAGACCATGGRGCACATGGAGTCTACCTGCTCTCCTGGCCACTCAGCTTCCCTCTGTCTGGCCCTGCCAGGGTTAACTGATCTGCCCAACACTTGCCCCAGGGATAGTCCCTCTAGACCTGGACAAGGGCAGACCCTTGTTCCTGGAACCGGGCAGATCCTGGTCCTCGACTACTCCCCTAGGACTCTGCTTGGTTCCTTTCTCTGGCCTGCATGTCCTCACTTCCCAGAGCCTGTGACCCCGCTCCCAGGGGACCCTCTCCTCAGTCCAGACTCCTACCCCTCGTTGGGCATCACCTGTCCTTGGGCAGTGGACTCATTGGAGGACACTCCAGGCCCCAGAGAAGGGCAGGGACTCCCCAGGTCAGCTGCAGAGGTTTGGGGTGTGTCTCCTGAAGGAGGATCTGTGTGCCTAGACATGGAGGCACCTGGGGCAGGTGCGGAAACCAGAGGAGGCCCAGGGTGGCGGCTGTCCAGGTCATGGGGCTCTCTCTGGATTCCCAGCCATGGCCCTTTCCCTGAGATGGATGGGGGAGAGAAGGGTGAGTGGCCCCCTGCAGGAAGTTGTCCCTGGACAGAGGATGCAGGGAGGGACTGCAGCGGGCCAGGGACAAAAACGCCAGTGCTCAGCAACTTGGGCCAGCGACCCTGCCCCGCAACCCTTCTGACCCCCCAGGGGGCACCCGGAGCTCACAGCAGTTGTCAGACAGGCGGCTTAGAACACGCGCCCGCTGATCCTCAGTACTCCCAGAGCGCGACCGCGGAGGGCACGTCGGCGTCTGCGCGGAGCAGCCCCGAGGCGCCGCCGCGCAGGTACTTGCCGCTGCGCGCACGAATGGCCAGGCGGCCGCGCTCGCGGAACTCGAAGAGAAAGTCCTCGGCGCTCTCGCCGTCGCTGCACACGCTGCCGTGGCTGCCGGTGTACCAGAACCCGCCGCGGCCTGGGGCGGGGACGGGGCGTCGGCGTGGTCCACCCCCCACGCGCCCCCCGTGCCTGTGCGCCCGCGACCCCGGTGTGTGCCCCACTCACTCCTGCGCACCTCGGATCTGATAGGCGCCGTCGCTGAAGCTCAGGTGGAAGACGTCGTAGACAGAGCGGTTGGTGTCCAACTGGTTGGAGCCTCGGCGGTGGCAGACGAAGCCGTCCAGGCCGCGCAGCACCAGGATGGGCCGGTTGATGAGCTTGAGGATGAACTCCTCGCCCTCGCCTGCAGGAGAGGGCGCTGTGGAGCTGCCCTCCCAGCCCCTTCCCTGTCCAGGCACAGTCCTGCCCAGATCTGCCATTGGGGCGTGGGGAAGCCATGTCCACTGTGTCCTCCAGGCGTGGACACTTGCCTTGGCAAGGTGCCTAATGCCGTGGAATCTAGGAGTCTCCAATTGTGCAAGGAGTCGAGGAGGTTCCCAGGGTTCCCAAAGGTGCGATGGAGAAAACCAGACCCTCTGGGAGCTAACTGTCCCCTGGTGAATTACCCAGATTAGGATGACTTGCCCTGGCAGCAGCAGCTCCCCTGAGACAGGGGAGAGGGCCTGTGTGCAGGCACCGGCCTGGGTGGAGAGCCTGCCCCCAGCACCTAGGAGGCAGGGATGCTCACCCACAAAGTCACTGATGGCTGCCAACTGCCCGTTCTTCTTCATGCACACATAGCGCCCATTGCTGGCTTTGAGTGCCACCCGCCGGCCACGCCACTCCACCTCAAACATGGTACTGGCAGAACTGAAGGGAACAGGGCAAGGTCCCCTCAGTGGCAAGAAATGGGGGTGCAGGCCTCCCCTTCTTCCTCAGGTTCCAGGGCCCTCCACTGACACCACCACTAAGAGCTGCCCCATCCAGAAGGCGTTCTTCCCTGACTGGGCTCCAACAGTGGTCCTCAGGGTTGAGGTAGCAATGATGGTTGGTGCAGTGTGGTGGAGGTGATGGTGGTGGCAGCCATGGTGGTGACCTTAGTGGAGGTGACGGTGTGATGGGGATGGGGGACACTCACACTTGTGTGGCTGTGGCCTGAATGCCCCCATGGGTGACCAAGGTCCAGTAGCCTCCAGTGCTGGAATAGAAGGTACACTTCTTTGTGTCCTGATCAATTTGCATCAAGAAGGTCTCGTGGTCTAGCTCTTCATCCTGATTGGCTGAGACGTTGACCCCTAGAGGGAGGAGATGGGGAAGTCCCTCACAACTCTCCTGGGGGGCAGGGGCTGAAGAGGCATGCTGGGGCACCCCCAAAGCCAGAGAGTCTCATCTAGAACCTCTGGATTTGGGAAGATCTGGAAAGCTCCTGCCAGGACCATGAGGCCCGGGCTGCTCCCCCACAGGGCCCCTAGCTCTTGCCTAGGAAGAGAGTCCTTCCGTGCCGGCAAATCTCCCACTCCGCTAATCAGCGGGTAATCTGCTTGCTCCCGCTCTCTTGACCCAGGACTTACGCCAGCTTCTATTTATAGCTCATTTCTAAGCTGCCAGGTGGGCACAGCAGGGTTTTTGCCCTACCCCATGTATGGACCCAGATCACTTCCAGTGCCGAGGGACCAGGAAAAYCCCCATACGCACATATGCTTGGTCTCCCAGGTGCCCTAGAGGTCAAGGCTGCCCAGGGCTCTGCTGGGGTTCCCAGAGAGGGTGGAAGGGGCCACTCTCTGGGCTGGCAACAGCCCAGGCCCGGAGCCTCCCCGGGATCTGCCCACCCATGGCATCTCCAGCTCCCTCCCGAATACTGCATCCCAGTTTCCATGGCGACTGGGCACTCAGTGGTATGACAGGCTGCAGACCCCACGAGGCCCAGGGGTTCCAGTGTGGGCAGCTGGGGAATGGGAGGAGTAGTGGACAGAGCCCTACCTAGTCCGGCCCCTGGGAGGAAGGGCATCAAACAGCAACCCCTAGGGTAGAGCCTGGGTCTGCTCCCTTCACTGGTGTCCAGAGGCCACCCCTGGGCCAGGTGCTACTCACACTCAGGTCACAGCTCTGGTGCAGAGAAGCAACTGGAAGGGGCCTAGCATCTTTGCCACCGTCCCCACCACCACCAGCTCCCTCATCCCAGCCACAGATACTGAACTGAATGGGCAGCACCTCTGTCCCTGAGCTTCTCCTGGCCTGGGACTGGCTGTGAGCCAAACATGGCCCTTGTCCTCACATGCCTGGGCTTGGTGAGCAGAGGACGAGGATATCTAGTGAGAGGTAGGAGCCACTGTGGGAGACGGTGACAACTGGCCTCCCTGCGGGGACTGCGAAAGAAGCCAGGTCAAAGGACTGGCCAGGCAGATCGAGTGGCCCTCTGCGGCTGTCTCCCAGGCCAGGAGTCCCACGTCATGCCACGCACCACATTTAGGCAGGATGCTGTCCGACATCTTTCGGGACACACAGTCACCTGCTTCTAGGAAGCTGACCTCACAGTGGGAGGGACACAGAGTCCAGGTTGGTATGGGGGATGTTGTCTTAACCCTACTCGGGGGATTGGTTGAGCCAAGCAGTGTTCAGTCCTGACCAATGATTGTAAATGGGGTATCTGCTAGGATTTAGGGGAGATATTTTACTCCTAAGAAAACAAGAAGGGCCAGTGATGCTTTTTTCTCTGGATTTTGTCTTGTCTGGATGTGAGGCCTGGAGTTGCAGCAGCTATTTTGTGAACATAAAGTCAGCATTGAGTCAGGAGAGTGGTTCGACAAGGAGGTGAGAACCAAGGCCCTCGGTGGTACCACAGAACTGACCATGGTGCCCTTCCAGGAGCTGCACCTTCCCTGAGGCCTCTGGACTCCACTTACACGTGACAAGTCACGTCTTTCTGACACCAGGCAGTCTGGTCTTCCTGCCGTGCTACCCACCAGCACTGCCATACCAGTGAGGGCAGACAGACTGGCTGGCAGGCTGATGGAGGGGGGAGGGGAGATCCTCAGAAGAGAGAAGAGCACACTGGGTGCTCTCACACCCCTCCAGGGCGAGGAGACAGCCCAGGGATCTGCCTGGCCATGGCCCCACTCTGCCGCCACTCCAGGACATCAACCGACAGGAGATGGGGCAGGGCTCACGACTGCCCTGCCTGGAAGTCGAGGCACCCGCTCCCCAGGCCTCTCCTTCCCCGCAGCCTGCTTCCTCCCACCACCGGCTGCCCAAGTCCATCTCTGCGGGCCAGGCCAGGTAGCCTCAGCCTTACTGCAAGGTACCTACCTCCCATTCCCAAGGTGCGAGGGAAGCAGGTGGTGGTCCTTGGTAGGGGATCCCCTCAAACTGCAGTCAGATCCAGGTGGTGAAGAGACTAACATGACCCACGTGGCCACCATCACTAAACCTCCTCCACCACCATCACCATCACCTCCACCACCAAACCATCACCTCCACCATCACCACCACCACACCATCACCTCCACCACCACACCATCACCTCCACCACCATCACCTCCACCACCACCACCACCACACCATCACCTCCACCACCACACCATCACCTCCACCAACATCACCATCACCTCCACCACCACACCA